GGCCATGACATATTACTTTTAAGTAATGCAATTGCAATATCATTTCTTTCGACAAAACGATCAACGAGAGCTTTGAACGTTATTCGAACCATGGCAGTCACAGGAAGCCCCCGAGCTTTTTTCAATAAACCATTATATGACTCAGACACATTTGTCTTCATGACGCCCCATCTACGACCACCATCCTTATACATTGTCCATTTTTCCAAAGGAAATTCATTTAACCATTCATATGCTGCAGGAAACAATGTTTTGATTTGTTGCATCCGTTGCACAAACTTTTTCTTCTGATGCTCAGTAGTAGCCAACCACATTAGTTTTTCGAGTTAACTATTTATAAATTTTTCATTGAAATTTGCTTTTAAGTGTCGAACACAAAATCTATGATATGTGTTGGGTGGACTCAACCAATCATAAGATTGAACGCATTGCAAGATTCCTTGATGACGGTCAGAAATAATACCAATTCCTTGTCGTTCACAAACTACATGTGTCCATAATAACTTGAGAAACCATGACCAAGACTCAAAACTCTCACGTGCAACTAAAGCATATGCAAGTGGAAAAATATTTTCATTCGCATTAATTCCAACAACAATTAACAGTTTGATATCATACAAACCATAAAGATGTGTGCTATCGATAGAAATGACCGGCCTACAACTTTTGAAACCATCAATCCTCTGTTTAAAAGCCCAAAAAAAAATTTAAAAATTTGCTCACCTTGAATTGTTGTAGAATGATGCTCCCACTCAATAATAGTGCATGGATTGAATAATTGTAGTGCAGCCATGTATCGAGGTAATGCCTTAAATGAACTTTCAAAATCACCATAAACCATTCGAAATGCTTTTCTTCGACCTTTTTGTGTTTTTCAATAACCAGGAGTATAGTAATGCTTTCCTTTGATAATTTCACGGATCATCTTAATATTTATGTCTTGATTTTGCATAACATATGGTATTAATGAAGTGACAATCATGTTATCATTCAAATTAAAACGATCCTCTTTATAGTTATCTGTAAGACAAGTATGCGGTTCAATCATTTTTGTTGTCTTCCACAATACCACTTGAAATCTCTCTAAACCGAATCATCCAATCACACCCAAACTCATGACGCTTGCAAATAACTTTCCAACTTTTACTCTTGGATTGATCACAAAGAAATTCTTTTTTAATAGCAAGACTATATGCTCTTACTGCATAATTCATTTGCATCTTATTCATAAATAACATACCCTAGTTGCATATACAAATTAAATTAATCAACATGAAATAAATAAACAAATAAACAAACAACTACAAAATAATTAATTTTCAACAATCGAACCTGACTGGATATGTTTAGGATTGTTTAAATTTCAAAGTTTCGTTCGAATGGAACCGTCATTTCTCGTGTAGATAAAATCTTCTGCATTTTCTTCAGTGTGATCTAAGTATGGAATCACTGTAGAATGATAATTAATACTTTGATCTTCAACAGATACATTAGGTGCATTATCCACATTATCATCATCACTGTCTGTTAATTCATGCTCAGAAGATTCATCATTGTGCAACTCACCAACTCGTTCATCACCCATAACATTATTATTTACAATTTGTGTACAATAATTCACTGCATTGTAAATTTGATCATACCTATAAAAATAATAATATAAATATATTACATATAAGAAAATAATTTTAAGAAATAAGAAAACATTACTTTATTTACCTATTAGTTGAATCCGATGAGAAAAAATTCAAATGTTTGAAATTTTGGCTAGACTCTCCCATAATGGCAAACTTCAGTTCGAAATAATGATCGTCAATTTGAAGTAATGATCATGAATATATATATATATATTGTTGTTTATGAAACCGCTACGTGAGAAGCGATATTTAAAAATATTAAAAAAAAGGAGCTAAAATCGCTACACTAACAATGATTTTATATTTAAAAATAATAATAATTTAAATAAAATCGCTGCCAGTGCATCCATATAATTAACTTTTTAAAAAATAAAAAAAATTAGAAAACGCTGCTAGAGCAGCGATTTTTTTAAATTAAAAAAAATTGGAAAAAATCGTTGCATGTGCAGCGATTTCATTTTTTAAAATTAAATATTTTTTAAAAAAAAATTAAAATCATTGCCTAGAAAGCGATTTAGTTAAATTTTTTTTTTAGAAAATCCATTTTTAATCGCTCCTAGGCAACGATTTTCATTTTTTTAAAAAAAAAAAATCGTTTCATAGGCAACGATTTTTATTTATTTTAATTTTTTTTAAAAAAATTGAAAATCGCTGCCTAGGTAGCGATTTGATTTTTTTTTAATAAAAAAATCACATTTTGCAAAATCACTGTAGTAGCAACAATTTTGCTTTTTTCGGTGGAGTAAATCGCTGCTATTCCAGCGATTTTGCCGTGTTGTTTAATATAAAATTTTATGTACCGTTTTAAAATTTTTGTTAATATTTTATACCCTTTAGGCTCCGGACTCCTGATTAATTACGAACAAAATTTGGAAAGATAAGTACCACAATTGTGTTGTAAAAAAATAATTATGTTCACGTTATAGCCTATGCTTCACATTGGATCTTGTAAAATTTGTTAGTCAATATTGTTCTATGATTGAATTGATTTATAAATTTCTATGGGCTCACTCCTGTCTGCAAAAATCCAAGAAACTCTTCCAACTTAACTTTCAATAGGTTGGCTCATTGTTGACACTTCCTATTACAAAACACATTTCTTTCCTTTGATAGTACCTTTAACCACAAGGTTTACAACACTTTTGTAAATTTCACAAGCTCTAGGTGTAAAAGTGGACAGACAACTCCCGTTTTAATAAGACATGAAGCAATGTGGACACTAAGAAAACCAGAGAGCAATACAAAAGTGTACACACATGTAAAATCAAGCTGCATTCCTTACAATTACTAGATGAAAAAACAATTCTTAGGCTACAAATGATATTATGCTATATGTGTTTAATTTCATGGTGGTTTGATATTATTATGATGGAGTCCGGAGACGGGATAGCTCCAGATTTGATAAAAATCTCAATAGAAATCATAGGTTTCTCGGTAATGCAATAGCTAAAGCAATATACTGAAAGGGTAGTGATATTGGGTGTGTTTGGTATGAAGGAAAATGTTTTTCTAGAAAATATTTTCCTGAAAAATAAGTAAATAATTAACTTCTCTTCTCATGTTTGGTTGGTGATTAGGAAATATTTTTATAAAATAATTTTTATTGTTTGATTTATGAATGAAAATATTTTGAGAAATATTTTTTATTTTTACTATATTAGAAAATAATTTATGAAATTGAGAATATTTTTTTTAAAAAAATAAATTTTTTATGGGGTAGGGTGTGGGGTTAGAGGTGAAAAATAAAAATTTAAAGTTGAAAAATATTCTTTTGGATGGGGATGGGGGGCTGGTAGGGGGGGGGTTGAAATAACAAAAATTTGAAGTTGAAAATATTTTTTAAAAATAAAATGAAAATTTATTTTAGGAGTTGGGGTGGGGTGGAGAGGGTGGGGGGAGGCTAGGGGTGAAAAAATAAAAATTTGAAGTTAAAAATATTTTTTAGAAATAAACTTAATTTTTTTTGGGGAGAGGAGGGTAGGGGGAGGGGGTTGTAAGGGGATGGTGGAGTCAAGCGTAGGGGTGGAAAAAAGAAATTTTGAAGTTTGAAAATATTTTTTTTAAAACAAAATTATTTTTTTGGGTGGGTGGGTGTTCCGGGGAAGGTGGTGGGGTCCGGGATCGAGGTGAAAAAATAAAATTTTGAAATTGAAAATATTTTTTAGAAATAGATGTTTTTAAAAAAAAATTGTAATTTGAAGTTGGAAGATAATTTTGGAAAATGTTTTTCTTAACTTTGAAAGAAGTCATTTTCCTTAATTTTGAGGAAAATGAGTTGATATAAAAAACATTTTCCAAAATTTTTTTTCCAACCAAACATGAGAAAATTGGAAAATATTTTCCAGAAAATGTTTCGTCATACCAAACACACCCATCATATTTACAAATTCTGTCAATCTTTTAAAAATTATTTCTCATGTATTGAAATTAAAATTATTTCTCATATATTGCGATTATTATAGATAAGACTTGTTGTGAGAGTTCTTTAACAATGTGAATTTCGTATTTTACATGATATCTCTATTTGAGTAGCCTTTATGTCTTAACTTTTGTTTCTTGTCGATTACTACTTCCACCTTCATTTTGTCCCTTTATGACAAAAGGTTATACATTAAATAAAGGGAAAACGGTCAAAAATACTTTTAAACTATGTGAAAGAAATAAAAATATCTTTCGTTTATAGTTTGACTCAAAAAATATCTTTATCGTCAATACTTTGGTTAAAAAATTTCCTTAAACTATGCGAAAAGAACAAAAATATCCTTTGTTTGTAGTTTGATCAAAAAATGCTCTTGTCATCAATATTTTGATCCAAAATTGTCATTATTGTTATTTAATAGGTCAAAAACCTCATTTTTCAAATAAATGTATTATTATTTTCTTTTGACACATTTTTTTTTCAATTAATGTTTTTAAAAATATTAGTTAATGTTTATTTTACTTTAATTCAAAAATAAAAATAAAAAATGAAGATATTTTTATTGTTATGTAAATGATAGATATACTATGATCTTACATATATGACATATATTATCTATGAAAAGTGTACATGAAATTATTCTATTTTAATTGATAAAATAAGATAAAAAAGAAAAAAAAATATTTCCTACACTTTTATTTGTTAAGTAATTTCAAAAGAAAGAAAATAAGAATAGTATTGCTTAATAATATTTTAATTAAGAGGAAGATTGTCTTTTTTTAAAAAAAATACATTTATTCAGGAAAGAAGACTTTTTTTAGCCATTTTGTATACTAAATTATTGACCATTTTTCCTTAAATAAAATTTAAGATTTCAAAATATATAAATTGTTTGGCTTTGTGCCCCGTGCAATGCAAGGGCATATATATATATATTTCCCTCCGTTAATTGTGCAAAGCGCCAAAATTTTTCATCTGATTAAAAAATCAAAAAGAAAAAAGCCCTTTCCCATAAAACCCTCTTTCAACCAAATTCTCAACGATGTTCTGTTCCAGCAATTCTCAACGAAGTTCTTGGTGAAGAAAAGAATAGCAGAACTTCTGGTGAAGAAATCTCTCTAGTGAAGCTCGTTTGTCTTCTTGGACATTGATGTCTTTTACTTCAGTTGAAGCTTAACTGGTCTTACGACAGCAATTTATGGGTATAAAGGTGAATAATTTTGATCTATTCTCTGCTGGTTCATGATTTCTAAGTCCCCCATTGAATGATTTTCGAGAAATTTTAAAGAATACTACATTGGTCTGTCTTAAATCTACGTTGTTTGCTCTAATCTAGGTCTGCCATATAATATATTTGTCGATTATAGATTGTATTTCCTGTTTGGTGTTGATTTGACAACTCTTAAGCACAAGTCTTTGAGAGGGTGAATTTCAATTTCATAAGAGAAATTTCAATTTCATAAGAGAAATTTCAATTTGTAGTTGATTGTTTTCCTCAAAATCACGCACAGGACATATTTCAGGCAAAAAATAAGTCTAAGATACTTGTCTTCTTTTTCTATACAATAAACTGAATATAATGGACTTATCAGATTTGAAAAACTCAAGTTGCAAATTCACGGATTGTCCGAATTTTGTTTGTTTTCACAATCAGGTCATTCATATATACTTAGGTTTAATCTCGCTAACTAGGTCCAGTTTTACTTCATTTGGTACACCTCCCCATTTTCACCAATAATATGCTCAGTTACCGTGATATTCTCTACTTCTTTCCCTTCTGTCTATTTATCACCTTCTGATGCACACAACTCTAAGAGCTTTGGCCACAGAGAGACAAAAATAAATTTTTCTTTTTTGAAAAATAAATAGTCTTTTGGCAATCGAGATTGTCCTCACAATCAACATCCAAATTTGAAGGGCAAACTTTGTTAATCTATGTTGAACAGAGACGGATGAGACAATGTATAAGTTATTACTACAAGTGTTTTACTTGAATGGGACAATCTCTTATTAAGTGTCACGATTCGAAAGCATCCCCTAAAAGTTAGGAGGAACCCTCGTTTCGTGACTGGGCGTACTTGACCTTTTGGGGTCTTGTAAAGACCTTCAACTAGCATTCATTACATATGACATGAAAAGTAGTGCGGAGTAAAAACTTTTCACGAATAAATTAATAAAAAAGAAATCTTTCATAAATACTTAACAAATCTCCTCGTCACAAGCCAAACTTAAGACACAACATATAATATCTCAGGGACATGACCCTTTACATTGAAATTAAATACATATTAAGTCTTAATAATAAAGCTGGAAAACAATAGACTATGTCCTCGGATATAGGAGGACATACCAATTCTTGAGAGAGTGAATTTCCCAAGCTTCGCCTTCGAATCATTCAAAAAGTCTTCAACCTATACTTAATAAGGTATAGAAAAGTACGGGGTTAGTACAAATAATGTACTTAGTATGACATATGCATGCGAAAAGGGACATTTTAGTAAAATTACTTTTCATGCAATTTAAGTAAAATATTCAAGAATACAGAAGCAAAACATCATAAGAAACATCACTTAACACCTAGATAAGAGATTCCATAATTTAAAACCAAAAGGGACCATTTACAGTAACTTCCAAAACTTTACAGTAAACTCCAACCAATATTACAGCGAACAAATTTGAACTTTAACAATGAATCATTTAAGGCACTCACAATGAACTATCCTCTCCTAAATGAGTGAACTTCCATGGCCAAGCGAAAGAGAAAGTGAACTCATTTTCCGTAAGAGTTTCCTTACCTCGGGATCAATGTTGTTAAAAGCGCAGAAAAGCGCGCTTCAAAGCGAGGCGACCCTTGTGCGCTTTTTTAACTTGAGGCGAGGTGATTTGAAAAAAGCACTCGCTTCAGAGGAAGAAGCGAGAAGCGACGCTGAGGAAAAAGCGCGCTTTTTATAAAAAAAAGCGACAATTAGAGTGTTTTTTTAAAAAAAAATTAGGTTTTTTTTTAAAAAATCTGAAATATAACTTCTCTCTCCTCACAACTCTTCTTTCCCTTCTCTCCTCGCGACTCTTTTTCCCTTCTCTCCTCGCGACTTTCTTTCCCTTCTCTCTCCTGAAGCTCTCGACTGAGGCTGCTGGCTGCCGCCCTTCTTTTTCTCGTGAAGATCTCGACTGAGGCTGCTGGCTGCCTCCCTTCTTTCTCTCCTCAAGATCTCGACTGAGGCCTGCAGGTAATTTGTTCATCTCTTTTTTCTTCTTCTTCTCTTCTTTTCTTCATCTCTATCCTCTACTGCCTGCTCTTTTCTTCTTAGTTCTTACTGACTGCTACCTCTGTTTTTTTTCAATTTTTTTGTTTTTTTATTTTATGTTTTTGTGATCAGTGTGTATGCTAGCAGCCTTTTTTTTATTATTTTCTGAAACTTCCTTTTGTTTGTAGTATTTTGTGATTTAATTATGTTTTTGATTTTTTGCTTTATATGTTATGACTTGTGAGTATTTTTGCCTAAGTAATTTCTTTCAATCTAAGACTATATTACCTCTTTTTAGTTATTTAATATTTTTTTATTTTTATACTAAATGTCGCTTTTTTAAAAAAAGCGCGCGCTTCGCTTCACGCTTCTTGCTTCTGTGAAGCAAGCCCTCGTCGCTTTTTTCCGCTTCTCGCTTCCCAAAACACTGCTCGGGATTATCCTAAGACAAACTAAGGTAAGAGTAAGACATGAAGAAAGTATGCATATGCCTCCTTCAATACACACCAAAGCAACCCTCAAGACTACCCCTTTCGGCTAACTCAACTCGGGAGAAACATGCCCCTCAATCAATGGCAAGACATTAAAAGACACCCAACAAACCACAAAAGTCTTCCTTTTCGGAATGACTACTTAGTGCAATGAGTAGATAGCATCTCATACCACCACCTATCCTAAGTAGTACATTCTTTTAGAAGGTTTGACACCAAGTCTTCCCTTTCGGAAGGTCCTACCTAGTGCAATGAGTAGATAGCGTCTCATACCACCACCTACCCTAAGTAGTACGTTCTTTTAGAACACTTAGTTTAATCAATTCTTTTGTGGAGGGTTAGCTTAACCGACATTTACCATGATAGTTAGACATGGAATCTCGACATTAACCCCTATCGTATGAGGGATCCTCACTTGCGTAGAGTAAGGTCATTCTTTTTAGCTTTTACATGGCTTTTCCAATGGCTACACCTATATGGGTGCATAGTTAAGGGATAAAGAGATTTCTACTAAGTAATCATTCTCTACTCATGAGGAGTACTCATCTCAAGAGGTACATTGGAATACAACATCTCAACTCACGAAGTGTAATCACCCCTTCTTCATATCCTCTCTGTGCTAGACATAACCCCTACGGATTCTAAACACTTTAAACTATAGGTTAAGGATAGCTAGTGAACACCATATCTCAACTCACGAAGGGCATTCATCCTCCGACCTATCTTTGAAAGCTCTTAGGATGTAGTGAGGTTGCTACTAAACACTTCGTCTCAACTCACGAAGAGTGTCCACCTCAAAACTCCTCTATTTACTAAATTTAACTTCATACATTCATTTAAATGTGTGTGAGTACTTGTGAGCACATCTTGCATATAAATATCATTTAATTAACATTAGCTTCTATACATGCTTTAGTCCTACATTAATCAATTTACACACTTTACATGCTTCACTAGTCATATACTTTACCTAGGCATAATCTAAATGTAACGACCTGTTTAGTCGTTTTGAGCAGCAGATTTTATTTCTGGAAAAACAGGCTGAGGCGACGGACCCCACGACGGACCGTTATGGGCACGACGGACCGTCGCAGAGTCTCGTTTCAAAACACTTAGAAAATCTGAAATTGGGTACTGAAAATCGACTCTCTGAACTTCGTGACGGAATGGCAGGACGGACCGTCACAGGCGTGACGGACCGTCATAGATTGTTCAGTGGAAATTGACTCTCTGACCCTTGCGACGACCTGCAGGACGGACCGTCGCAGGCACGACGGCCCGTCACAGGTTGCGCAATCCCAGTCTGGGTCGGATTTCTTGATACGTTTTAAGGGACGTTTTTGACTATTCTTGCCTTAATTATAAAGTTAGAGGGTTAAGGATTATAAGTCTAATTACTTGGGGGTTAAAAGAGTTGACCTTAAGTTAA